TTTTTTTTTTTTTTTTTTTTTTTTTTTTTTAATGCTGACACGCGCACATCTATTTACAACGGCTCCAATAACGACAACGGCGATGATAATATTTCATGTTTGTATAACTACGACTACGATATGGGTCGGCGGTGTTTCCTTCGCCTGTAACACGGTACCCTCTCGTGCTCGCCAATATGTGTATAGTGTGTTATGTAATCATATATAATGTATATGCATTTATAATGTACTTAACACGAGCTACTGGCCGCAGTGAAACGATAACCGCTAAATGATTACGCGCAACCGATCACCCGTTGTAAAGCCCTCGACCGGTGGAGATAAATCAGAGTCGGATTTACGGCTCCAATGACAAGCTGACCGAATGCAATGCACTTGGCTGACCGCGTTCAATAAGTCGTAGAAAATAACGTGACGTATTTTATTAGTACGTCAGCATTTAATCGCCAATACATCGCATAGCGACGACATTCGGCAAGACGTAGGAGGAGAACGACAAAAGTGTTGTCAGTTATTTTTTTTGGTTTAATTTTAAAATTATATCTATTCGACCAAAACAAAAAAATTGCTGCGCGGTAATAATTTTATTTTGATGATCTGCTTCTTGTAGTAATCTGTTTTTGTCCAAAAAAAAACACGCCTAAGCATGTCATAAATATTAGTAGCGTTATTATTATTATTGCGCCAATTACGTCGTAGATTATCTTCGTCATAATTATGTTTCCGGTCCGTTCTGTCGGACGTTATTAACTCGGCGCTGCCGTTTGTCGACCACCACCGAAATTCTCGGGAGGTCTTATTAAAAACTTATCGCAGTCTCCTTAATGACGAGTCGCTTGGTACGTGCACTGTCATTGCACCCAACGATAGGCGTGTCCGTCCGTCTCGTGTATTATTACCGGAGAAAACACCCTATTGAGATGATCATGTACACGAGGATTTCGGAGGAAAAGTATCTCAAAAATGGATTTCGCTTCCGCCAGCAAAGTGATTGTTGTTCGTTAACGAACGAACAACGCAAACGACCTTTTACAGTTTCATTTTAAAAATTAAATCAATTGCGTTCGTTGTTCACCGAGGGTGTAAAAAACAGGCCTCAATAATATCGTAATCAAGTGGTGGCGTCGAGGAGGCCGCGGGCGCATGGTGAATTGTTGGCATGTGAAATTAATAATGAAAACTACCCCTCCTCGTGTGTTCATAGAGTACGCCAGGGATGCGCTTGTTGGAAACGATCCCTTGTGGTTCGTGTAGTGTTTTTATTTTCTCATGACAACAATGGTCACATAAGTTACAGCTCGTGTTACGCTCAAGCGATTTTCGGTGCCTCCTGTCGCATTTCGACAATAATAACCTGTACGGATTTCAGTAGATCAATAATAACAACAACAAAATGCCACCGCTTACCTGTCCTGTTAACGTAATATGGTAATCGCCTACTGCACAATTGTCAGCAATTTATTGCGAATTTACGGGATTACACAACGTGGTCATCTGAGCCGAATGTGATGGTCACTTACCGAATCACAGGTCATTATTTACACAATTGTAACGACTCTAACCACTACGTTCCCGAGGGGAGCTGAACGTTTGTACAATTAAAGACTAAGTACATTTTAACAAATCAATACGTGTTCTTTAATGCACGTGTATTAATTAAAATAATTTTTAACTAATTTCTATTAAATTAAGTGTGTTATATAATCATAATTTATCTTTCTTTTAACAGATATTGTTTTGAGCTTGACCTCTTAAAATTTGCATTGTGTTATCGCGTACATTTTTATTCGAATAAAAAGCTGTGGCGAAACCAGAAAATAAATTTGGACAATGTGTTATTATTTAAAAATTTATTTATACTGATAAAAAGCATAAATTCATGTCAGTAAAAAAATTTATTAAACAGTTTCGTACAACGTTTGACTGTTATGTATTGTTCTTAAGAGTATATCAATATATTTTACATAATGTTTCATTTTTTATATTTACACAAAAGCTTTCGCGTAACATTTTTATTGATAAGCTGCCATGCGATCACTACGAATTAAATTTTGCAATAATAATTTCTAAAACGAACAGCTCACTAATTTTTGGATTTATAACTAAATTTATTGTATGAAATATATTACTTTGAATATTTAAAAAATAAATTATTCATACAACTGTCTATTAGCATTTAATTTCAATAGCTCCAATACTTTTTTTTTTAACCGAGCCAAGTAGAATATGAATAATTAGAGAAACGCTTAATTTTAACTGATGAATCAATAGATAACGTAAGACAAAAAATAACTCGAATAATAATATTTATGTGTGAATTGGCATTCAAACTTTTAAAGAGCAAATTTTAAAACTTGATTTTAGCCGTCGACCTTCTTCCTACTAATATACCAAATTATAATAATTTATCTATAAGCACATGTAAAGTGCGCTTTACACGAGTTTATCTAAAAAATAATAAGCTTATTTATATAAATAGAAACTCGATAATTGTTGTTATTGGTAAATGATTTTTAATACAAACAATGTGTGGTAGTTGTGGAAATAATTTTGTATTGGTATTGATCTATAACCTTTCAGTGTTTAAATTTAAAAAAAAAAAATCATTCTGAATTTTTATTAAAGACTTAACTAAATAGGTATTAGCTTCATTTTCTAAAACTTCATCAATTTTAAAGTATTTTAATTTTTTTTTTTCGAATAAATCTTTAAAATATTTCAGAATTTAAATTAAAAGTATGTTTTGTTTTTGGTTCACCTTGTTCTTTTTTAGTTCCGACATTAATAATTTAACTATTCAAGTAAGTTAGTTATTGATATGTTTAACCAGTCGATAGTAATATATTTCTACACAACTCATAATGAATTCTATTGCTTATTAATAATATCATAACTAGTCAGTTCCAGTAGAATAATAAAACAGTACAGGGCCGTGACAATAAATAATAAAGCTCCTGGAAATGAAATACATTTGCGCCTCGATAACTCAATTTGTTTGTTCTACAACCATAAAAACTCATAATAAAAAAAAAAAACGCTATAAATTGTAGTACAAGTTCTCTTTATTGTATTGTAAAATATAAAAATTATTTTATTTTGAAATTGCACCCCAGGCAAACGCCCTCTTGCCCTGAAACAGTTAAACAGCGTGTCACAATTCAATAGTTAATATTTATCGTATCAGCACATTTATTAATGTCAAACGATTTCTTAGAAGAAAAGCCTTCGATAAAATTTCATTGACTTAAATCAATTCTGGGAATTGTGTGTAAACCAGACAGAGTTTGAAAGGCTATACCGCTTCTTATTTATTATTCATTAGATCACTCGTTTTATGTTTTCAAAAGGTCTGATACGAAAAACCATAATTGAACGAAATATTTTTCCTTAAATCTTAGACTGTGTGACAAACAAGAAGTTATAGAATGCTTGTAGAATGTTATCCTTGACGTCAAGTACAACCAAACAAAAATAATTTTGTTACGTGTTAGTGATAATGGCTGTGACCTTATGGACGTGTACCCGTGACCCCAGTCTTTGTGAAATTATAATGAGTAAAGATTAGCCACTTTGGAATGTTTTGTGGTTGTATGCTAGAACCAAAAAGATATAGAAAAAAATATCTCTCGGAGATAAAGTCAAAATCGAGAATTTCACCTAATATCAGTTCAGTCGCACAGTGAACAATTAGACAAATCAGTTCAGTAATTAACCGGCGTTGATAATCGATATGCCCGTAGGCCTAAAAAACTACACGGGTGCCATGAATTCGTTTATCGCGTCCCGTACGTATCAGACAACGGCAACCGTTACACAAACAGTAGCCGTTGGCCTTTGAAAAGTGTACGTCTAGTCTGTAATTTGTGATTGGGTTATCGGCACACAACAATATTCACCGGCACCCGCCGCCGTCCGTCGCAAGCCGTAACGTGTTTTTTAATTTATTTTTTCGTTGTACTTTGAAACGACGCGCAACGTATTAACATAATAATGTCGATCACACGTCTACCGAGTGCTGTCGGCATTATGTATTTCATTTATTTTCCCTAACCGCGTTCGATCAGCTTAGACGTTTTGAAACGCACGTGCTCACACGCGCGTCAATATTATTTTGATGATAGCAACGAATTTACAAACATCGTTGTGTGTTGAACAGGCGGACACGACCGTAAAGTGCGCGTGCGGCCACCGAGTTCCTGGGCGATGGTGCCAAACGGAGGACATTAAAAAACAAAATTATTCGCTATATTTTCCAACGAAAAATAGGTAGCGCATATTTTTCCTTGTTGTTGTCGTCGTCGAACGTTTTAAACAAACATTGGCGGCAGTCGGCACGGAGCTACACGCAAAAAACAACGATTCACAGTGACCGAGCCGTTTTACTTGTACACATTCGGCTACGAGTTTTATTAATAACCGTTTTGGTTTTTTAACAAATCGGTGTTCGATTTAGCACTTGGTCGGCAAGGTCGAACTGCAATGTAAAAACAGCACACTCATGACCCGTACAACCGGCGCGTACCACTATCCGGTACATCCGTCTGGTGACCCTATGGGTCGGCAAATGTACGTCATACGCGTATTGTGTGTACGCACATGTTTTTGTCTATATGAAATCGATATTCACTTTTTAATGTGTCAATGGTGTATTAGCCGACACATTTTTTACTCCTGCTTGCGCTTCTCGGATCTTAACTGGTTGTCTCTGACTTGAACCGCGTAGAAGTATCATTTGAGAGCGACTCACTCGACACAGACCTAAAAACGCAGTCGATTATAAATTAACTATGAATTGTATGTGTTAAATTATGAACGCATATTTTCTTAAAGAAATAAACGCCGAACGTGAAACGTTCGGCGGAAGGCTAAGTGTTGAATTGGAGTGAGTACGTTTGGAAAGGAGGACGTAAAATGTAGAATAACAAAGTTTTAAATGAAATAATAGAATTTTAAAAAAAACTTCATGTTTGTTAAACACTTAGCGAGGACGGAATTAGTAAATAATTTTGCTTTTCTTGTAGTTTTTGTCTCGCGTTCTCATTCTGTTATTTTTTGTAAATTTTAACACCAAAAAATCAAACGGAAATCGTACACATAAAGTAAAAAATGGTCATTTCCTCTAAGGTAAACAAACAGTGTGTTTGATTTAACGCCGGTATAAGGCTGAGGAAATGCGACCTATTGTAGATATTAAATCATAAACAATGAGACGGGTAACACGTACTGGTGTGATACAAATAAATATTGAATAGGACTCGGAAGTACAAATTACTGGCGGCGTCATGTGCGTACCATTCGGTTGTTTACACGCCTACATACTGTGCGATAGCTGTCACTATAACAGGTGAATGAATCGGATGCTCTTTAGCATCAACAAGTTCAATCTTGGCCACTGATTGTCTTAAACTCTTTAGCGTCTTACTGTCATTACCACCGGCTCTTCCGGTTTCGACATATGGCCGAACAATGTTAAGGTAGAGTATTTTTTCAAAAGGACATTTTTATTATTTTTATGAAACTATTCAATAATTTAACCTTAACTTCAGGTCGGATGTTAGTCCTTACATCCGTTTGTTAATTTTGAACGCCTTTATCAGTTAGCTTATCGACAATAAGATTGTCAATTTAGCCAAAAACGGATGTATTTCTATTGTCTATCATAGAAACTGAAATTTTAAACAATTTCTGTTCTAATACGCGGACAGAATAATTTGAACGATTCAATATTAGCACACAACCTTCATTGGAAAACAATTGACATAAAAATAACAGCTAATGAATAATAATTATTAATTATTCACTGTACGACTTTATATTTATTGGAACATGTATTTTTTCACCGTTTATTATCAGTAATCTATTATTTACATAAATGTAATCCTAGTAAGCGGATTGAATTAAATCAGTAATTGATATAAAAATAAAACAAGAAGCTGCTACTGATTTTATTGGCTTGCATAAAAACATTTTTATCCTGTGATGCTTATTTATTAAAGTTAAAACAATACTCTAAAAACTTTAATCGACTGTTATGACTTCTCATAGACAAAAATATTTTGACGTAAATCGGAGTTAATAATTTTCTATAATCTAAACTACCATTACGTACATCTGTTACTATAAGATGTGTTATTATTAAAAATAATATGTTTTGGGTACTTTTGGCAATATGCAATTTACCCTTGTTTTTTTGCAAACGTTAGATTAAATCGTTTGTAAGTCTATATTTTTAACTTTTCATAAAAAATAATTTATAGCTATAATACATTAATATATTTCGTGAATAAAATACGTACTTCTTTTTAATGGAACTTTTATGATTTATATTTATTGACATTTGAATTGTGCATGTGGAGTACACAAAAAGTATTTCAGCTTTGGTAATAATTTAAAAAATAAGGATGTAAATTAAACAATTTTTAATATAGAAACTGTCGTCGGAAGGAGATTATTTTAAACTATGACTGTATACATAAAATATAAAAACGAAATCCTGTTAGTTTTAGATAATCCATTTTTTTTTTTTTTTTGTATTAATTTAAATACCTATTTTTTTTATCAAAACTAGTAAGAAACTAACGACTCTAACTGAAACTTTACAATTAACCTTATGATAAAATTGCAGAAAACTTATATATATATATATATATGAATCATAAATATAAACATTATAAAAAAAATCTAAGATAGATTGTAAGGGTGACTTTTAGAAGCTAATTGGGTAAAATATTGATATTATTTCATTATTAAATTAAACATGGTTTAAATTATTTTTTGATTGGTCGCTAACCAGTCAATTAATTAATAATTAATTATTTCTCTTTGAATTTATGTAATTTTCAGTTAGACAAGCGAATGCGCAACAAGAAAGAATTTTTATTTATACGTAATGGTAAAAATAAATCATCGCTTCTCACCTTTTCTGAATTTAAAGGCTAATAACTCAAAAAGTAGTATTACAAAACCGATTTTCAACACGTCAATATTTTATTAAGATCATTCTCCTTTGAATTTAAATATCATAGGTTCTTATTTAACTTTTACTTTTAAGTTGCCTCTAAAATCTACCCATGGAAATTACATCTAATATTAAACTTGATATTAACTAAGCTTCATAAAAACAAGTCAAATTTTAATCTGTATATTTTTCTGAAAAAAATCTATTGAACAGAATAATGTGGAATAGTGTTTTTATAAATTATACTGTAATATATTTATATATATATATATATTACCTACACATATATGTTATTGGTTCAACTATGACTATGCTTATTTTAGAAATAATTTTTCAGCGGACAATTAATCAAATGTATACTGCTAAAATGTTATTTTAGTTATATTTTAAGTCTAGTTGAGTATATTTCTAATAAAAACTGTTACTCATAGTTGTTTATCTCTGTCATTTGTATTCAAATTAATGTTTAGTATATGATGTTAAATAGGTACTTATTTAAGAAACAAAAAAAAATTAAAAATTAAATAGTAAATAAAAAATAAAAAATAATATAGAAAAAAATGTGAATTGATAAAAAAAATACTATTAATGATTTGTTTGAAATATTCAGTTTACAATAGTTTAAAATCTATAAAAATAAAATACTTTATAGTAAACTATAAATATTTATATTTTTTAAATTAAAGAATTTTACCATTTTTAACCCATATTTCTGCTATAAAATATTCAGGTACAGTGTTGGTTGAAATTTTCTTCATACTTATAAGGATATACTTTATATTTGAATGCATTTCACTTACCAATGTATTGCAAAATTTATTACTATTACATCTTGGACATCGTGTTTTTGACAAATATTGTCAAAATGAATATAATTTTTAAGAGGTATACGATAATCTCCATTAGTTAAGTGCATCTCTTTAGAACTACAGAAATGAGACGAAATGCTAAGTTAAAAGAAAAGATTAAAAATGATATTAAAATCACAATTCGGTCTATGACGTTAATCACCGAGTTACAAATAAAGTTCTTAAGATCAACTGAACCAAATGAAAACAAGACATTAAAATTAAAAACTATACATGTATATATTATGATTTTGCTTATGACATATTCTCTTCAATTGCGTTAAAAATACTATTAAACAATTGTGGTAATATTAAAGCCTTTATTTTATATTTGATTCAGTCATCATTTTTTTAAACTGGATGTTATTGGTCTTATACAAAAGAGCTACGCAACTAATATATAATGTTATGATAAAATATTCAATATTAAAGCGTCAGAAAATTATTAGTTAAAATCGATACAGTTAAAATATTGAATGCAAATTTTGTAATAGAAATAAAAATTATTCTTATAATTAATTACGATTCATATTTTACTTCAGTGTGACAAAATGAACAGCATATATTATGACTTTATAAATAAAGAAAATAAAAAAGATTTTATAGTAAAAGTTAATCGTTATAATATAACAATACTTAATTAATTATATTAAAATTACTGGATTGAAGTATTTTTTAAGAAATTATCTTTTAAAAACAAAAATACGTACCGTTAAACGCTATCAGAAATCAATAAAAAAATGTATGTTTGAATATCTCTTAAAGTCATACCAACAGATCTCGTTAACGTTGACGATTTGTTATTGTAGAAGATATTTATAGTAACAATAAATACTAGTTATTTTTATGAAAAATTTGGGTTTTGTCCTTCAGAATGTTTATTACGATTTGATTAAGTTACTATTCGATCGTATTCCTTAGGCTCGACAAAAAATATCATGTGAAAAATCATCATCTGATAAATTAAAAAGAAATTATTGTAAAGTAATTGCATATTATTTTACTGGATAAAACACACAAATATCTTGCTTTAATTAATTTAAAATCGTCTACGTAGTTGTTGCTAACAAATTAAATTTCCATAATAATTTTTTACGAGAATCACAACTTTTTTGTTTTATATTGTCACTATAAAAATAAAACGCACAAATTGAGTGTTTACTAGACATATTTCACATTTAATGTCGACAATGTAAACTAGTTAATTTGTAATCGATTGTCTCTAGTTTTATGAGACGAATATCTCAAACAAATATTTTACACAACTGTATGTAATAAGTATAAAAAAACAGGCATTTATCGTTATTTCTTGAAGCTATGTTATATAATAAAATATCATAAAGTTTAGTAAAAATATTTTTCTTCGGTGTATTATAAACGTTTGACACGTTCGTATCAATATTGGTCCAATGAATATTGAATTAAATTATCTAAGAAATGCGTAAGCTACCGAAGTATTATAGAAATGATTTGTACATGTTGTGTAACATAAAAAACATGATGATATTCGATTGAACGGCTAATTGTAAAATGTATGTTTACAACACAAAACTTGATACTTACAAGGTGGAATTATAGTGGCACAATAATGGACTCGAAATAGTAGTTTCATTGAGTATGGTAATGTATACGGTGGCGTGTGTCTCATTCGGCAGCATCCTGTAGAATTATACTGTCTATATTTTAAGTGGCGTTTCGTGTTCACCAACCCGTTAATAAAGAAGGCTAAGGTTTAAAAAGAAAAGATAAAAATCTTATCCCTCTGATACTATCCGTTTAGATCTCATGTACTTTGGTTTTGTTCTTACCGGTTCGTACTGCGGCCCGAGGCTATGAAAATCATCCGCCAGCCAGTTCCTATTCATTAATCATCTCCGTGATACGTTTAAGACATTGTGGAGTATAATGTACGCATCGCATATAGCGCCATATCAGACTCGTATAATCATCTCGTCTCAAAAAAAAAAAAGAGTGGCAAACAATAATTTTGAAATTATACGGTTCAATAATTAGCCATAGCTTTCACTCCATTCCGTTTTACTATTATTTAGTTTTGTACTAATACTCAATATCAAATCGTGTCTCAGACTTTCCGTCCAATGTTCTTTATTTCGCAGTTCATTGTTATTCTCTTTCGATTATCTATCTTTTCATACACGTATTGACAGATCTCGCTTTATCATATCGGAAAATATGTTGTGTTCGACTAATATTGCATCACTCACAAACAGTTAATCTGCACTAAGGATTTAGACAACAAACACGTAAACTAAATATGAGAAAAAAATAGATTTCGACTAGATTAACATCGATATTATATCGAATGTACTTAACGTAAACATTGGTTTGTGGTTCATTTTTTATCGAAGTGCACGCGCATCGTGTTACATCAACAATAATTGTTCATGTTACTCGATGCACGTGATAATACATGAACTTATGAATTAAGTTCAAGTATCACAAATAGCAAGAAGCTCATTTATTTAAGCCAATTAGAGTTATGTGTTCCTTTTTTTTTTATGCATTAACGTTATGTGTAAGATAGGCATGTTATTAGGAGTGTTATCAGGGTCATAGTTGTTAAAAATAAATATTTCTCTGAATTTGTATTATTACAATGGCACAGACTTGACATGGTGGCACGTTTAAGTAATTACAATATCGAAATAATTAGACAGCCGCGTGGGAATCGACTTAAAATTTAAGAGATGGCATTGACGTTAAAAAGGAACAGGGTTTCAAATTATGGTCAATTAGAATAGTATAAAAAAATTATTTTCACACTTTTACATATTCTTTGGAAAATAAAATGTCATTGGTTTCGGCTTATTTATGAATATCGTTAGTTTATTATGATTTAGCGCCCAAAAGGTGGTCCATCTATTATTTTTTATCACCTGGCTGCAGAGCCTACCGATATTTCTGGATTTTTTTTTTATTATGGATCGGTAAAAAATATATATTATGTACTCTTATTACCCCATAAGTATAATTATTTGTAAGGATACAATGGCAATTTTTCTAACGTTTGAAAACCTAGACGGCAATCACACATAGAAGGAGAATAGCAGCAAAAACTCGGACAATAGGACCGTTTCTCATCGCCGTTTTCGGTGGTCTCTATGTATAGGTAATATATATCTGTGTTATTCGAACGGTGCGTTTAATAATAAGGTCGGCGGCGGCGGCAGTGTAGTCTTTGTGCGCTGTGTCGATGGCATTTAAGGACGGCGGCCGTTCTCTGCGGCACAGAAAGGAACCCGATAATCCTTCGGCCGCACACATTTGCACAATCATAATGCAACTCACGACGTCGGGCAATGCAAAAAGATAAAAAGAGAAAATGGGGGAGAAAGAGGTTAAACGTACGAATAGGTATTTCTATCAAAAGGTTTCCTGCAAACCTGTCCGTGTCGAATCTCGGCCGTTCGTCCGAAACGAATCGCTCACAATTCGTCCGGCGTATCCAAATGCAAGGTAAACTTTGGCCGCGCGATTCCTTTGCCGTTCCCTTGTTAAAGATGCACCCGGCACAGATGGTCTGACATTAAATGGCCTCTGCACTGTCGTCTATTGGAATCTTTACGAGGGTTTTATCACCGTGGTTAAAGCGATTTTTTGCCGTGTACACGGTGCACTGCAGTGTTATAACGAGACGCATTGGTTCCGAATTTTCCGGCTTGTTTTCAACCGGCGCTAAATGCCTCTTGATAGACCAACAGATAACCCGTAAAATCGCAACTACCGCACCGAAACCGCGACAAATACGCTCTTGTAACGAGGACGTACTTGGTTTTAAACGAGGAACGAATGGCTCAGTGGGTACATCTGATACGCCACCGAAAGAAACCTCTTGGGGGGGTTCCATGAAATTTCATCAAAAAACAATCGCGCAAACAATGGACGAATTTCTAATTCAGAAGAATTCGATTGTTTATCAACAGCTATCGTTATGTCCTTACCAACATTTCACTTGCCTGCACAACCCCTTGAAAATGTTTTGTAAACAATTTTGCAAATTATTTTTACTTAGAAGACAGTAAATGGTGGCTTGGTGTGCTCTAATTTTTCTTTTGATCGATCCTTTGTTGAATTTAGAAGACTTTTACTGCATCGGCATTATTGATAATTGTTTTCGAATTATGAATGCGTGTTTTCGAATTCCTAACTAAATAAGTGTTCAGTCCGATATTCAAACAGTTCAATTTCAACAAATTTTAACTTTTAAAAGTTATTTGGTTTCATAATAAATTATTATTTAATAATTAAAATAATTTTATCGTAATAATAAGATAGTTTAAATTGCGTTTAAGAAATTGTTTTTCTTAAAAAATGTTGGCATTGTATAAAACTACCGAAATACAGAATCGATATTTTTTTTATTTATTACAATGGATACTGTACAAGATTGTTTGGGTTTATATGAGACTGAATTATTTGACGATAACAGATTGGGTTATTATATGTTACGATGAATTACGTTTAAAAAAAAAATCAAAAATCGATTTCAATATACGTCATTAACGATTCACTATGCTATAAAATAATGATTAAACAAATTTACATGATTACAAGGACTCGTGAAACAGCAGCATTTGCCAAAATAAAACGTTGTATTATAGAACTTGTAACTGAATAATCACTATTTACTCAATTAGTGGATTTGACCTCAGACAACAATGATGTCTGGATTTACAATAAAGAATTGTTAATTCGATCATTATATCAATGGTGGAAAAACGACTGAATTATGTGAATTTAATGCAACACAAATATGTTGATCACTATAAAACATGAAATTTTTAGCTGTTAAATTAGAAAATATGTTGTTTTGTTAATTAATGGTTATTACTTTTCGATATCATAATGTTATGTCATTTTCCGTTTCAGTGAGTAGTGTCAGAGTTCGTTAAACTAGTTGAACTTTGTGGAAATGTTAAACAATTGCGCATAGAGTAAAAGATTATTGTTTATTTATATTAAGTTAGGTGTATGAAAAGTCAACATTGAAGTGAATTGTTATATTATAAAATATTTGTATATAATATTCAATGTGATGTAATATTTTTGTATATATTTATAATGATAACATACATGGAATAATATAACGTCAATTGAACTAATGTAAATTTTTTTTTGAAAATTTGATTAGGTAATTTGTGTTGGGACCATATCCTAATCATGTATTTCATCTCTTCGATTTCATCTCTTGCGTCAATACAAGATAAATATTACACATTGCAAAAAATCAAGACAAGAACAGATTATAGAAATATATCAGCTATATTATATTAGTGAAAAATTATTTGTCTCAATTTGGTTAATCATTCATATTTAATATCGAATTTTAGCGAGAAACACAAAATAGTTTTACGATGGGATTTTATTGGCACATCTCATGTATTATTTATTAAGCTGTTGTGAAAACAACGTGTGCTTATCCTCGCATGGGAGCAACAAAAAGTAAAATCTAAAAAATATAATTTTCAAAAAAAATGTACACATGCTATTATATCGTCTGTCGACAACCGTAAACGTGTTTAGTAACATAATGTAAAATGCCCTTCATACATCGTTAAAGGGCGTTATGTGTCACGTTGCGTGAATAATGCCATTATTATTTTTTTAAACCTTTTTTAAAGGTTTAAAATGGAGACCCGAAGTTCTCCACGTGTACCGTGAAATCAAAAATACTTGTCAAAATCGCAGTTACACGATGTGTGCGTCACGCGTAACAGCACTTCATTTTTGAGGTAGGGCAGTGTTGGGTAGGGTACTTTTACAGCGGTTTATATGTTGTAGAACCTTGAAATTTTTGTGCAGGAAAAATACAACATTTTTTTTTTTTAATTGAAACCAAGTAGTTTTTGTTGGTTTCCACTGAGAAACATATTATTAGAGCAAATCACGACGTGAACTAACAAAGATTTAATTATAATTACCAATACCGTGTACACAAGTGGTTATTGTTATTGCAAAGTATAAGTAAATTATGCATTACGCAGTTATTTATAAATAAAATCTATGGTACTCAATTTGTTATTCGTAATATGTTCTACCTATTTTAATTGGAAATCTGTTGAAGGTTAAATTAAGGTACCCTTAAGCAGATTTCGAAAAATACTCTTTGTACAAATGAGAAATAATCCAGATTATTTGATACTTACTTTAAAAAAGTCCATTAATAGACTTATAAAATCATTGTATGTGGCGAGGGCAAAACACTAATCTTTTAAAAGCAATCTTTACTGATTGCATGTTTTATTACAATTTTAGAAGTCAATTAGTCTAATCTTATACGTATGCACATAAAATTACTTCAATGTGTTACAACCATTTTTGAGTGTGGTCGATATAATTTATTGTAGAAATATAATATTCATAAGTGTTGTATGTAATGATTTTTTTTTACTATTCTCGTGTTCTGTGATTTGATTTTTACAACCCGGTCATTTTATAAATTATAATAAAACTAGTAGAAAAACAGAAAAGTTCAATGGAGAGTTGAGAAACTTCATCCTACAAATCCATTTATTTGATTTTGATGATTGCAAATTTCATCTATCCTATAATAAAGTTTAGTAAGATATTTGATAATGTAAAAATATAACTAGCTCTCTCTGTTGAATCTTGACGATTAAAAAATACTTATCTATAAATAAAGACATAAAACAGATGTACGAGTTTACGTGATATTAAATTTATAAGCAGAACATCTTCATCTACATCAACAAATTCATAAAATACCTTTTAAAACACTATCTGATTGTGTAAATCATCGCCAAATTACTCATAAATTTTAAAAAGTCTAATACCACAGGGAATCTTATAAAATTGTTTTATTTAAATCACAAATTAATAAAGTATGTAATGTTTTCTCTTAAAGCTTTCAAATAAAACAACGCAATTACAATCATATTTCTGTGTTATAGAATCCAATTAATTACACAAGATTGAAGCTATGATTAAGTAATAACACATACGCTAATTGACTACTCTCGTGCTAATAATATGCTTTTCAAGGATAGCTGAATATTATTAATACGATGACTTAGTAAATAAAATTTCGATTAATACAAAAAAAAAAAATCCGTTAGTTGTAAGCGAAACATTANAATATGCTTTTCAAGGATAGCTGAATATTATTAATACGATGACTTAGTAAATAAAATTTCGATTAATACAAAAAAAAAAAATTCGTTAGTTGTAAGCGAAACATTAAAAAAAAAAAAACCTCCAGA